AGAAATGCGTGTCTTGCAGTTAAAGAATGGGTATTATGGCCTTGCGTGCGGTTTGTAGATGTGACAGCAGCGGGTTGATATTTAAGGATGAGACTACAGAAGCTTGATGTTTGTGGTTAAGAAGTGTGAAAATACAAATGGATATTAGAACAGGAGCATTGTGTTTATGTACAAAACATAATAATAATAATAATAATAATAATAATAATAATAATAATAATAATAATAATAATAATAATAATAATAATAATAATAATAATAATAATAATAATAATAATAATAATAATAATAATAATAATAATAATAATAATAATAATAATAATAATAATAATAATAATAATAATAATAATAATAATAATAATAATAATAATAATAATAATAATAATAATAATAATAATAATAATAATAATAATAATAATAATAATAATAATAATAATAATAATAATAATAATAATAATAATAATAATAATAATAATAATAATAATAATAATAATAATAATAATAATAATAATAATAATAATAATAATAATAATAATAATAATAATAATAATAATAATAATAATAATAATAATAATAATAATAATAATAATAATAATAATAATAATAATAATAATAATAATAATAATAATAATAATAATAATAATAATAATAATAATAATAATAATAATAATAATAATAATAATAATAATAATAATAATAATAATAATAATAATAATAATAATAATAATAATAATAATAATAATAATAATAATAATAATAATAATAATAATAATAATAATAATAATAATAATAATAATAATAATAATAATAATAATAATAATAATAATAATAATAATAATAATAATAATAATAATAATAATAATAATAATAATAATAATAATAATAATAATAATAATAATAATAATAATAATAATAATAATAATAATAATAATAATAATAATAATAATAATAATAATAATAATAATAATAATAATAATAATAATAATAATAATAATAATAATAATAATAATAATAATAATAATAATAATAATAATAATAATAATAATAATAATAATAATAATAATAATAATAATAATAATAATAATAATAATAATAATAATAATAATAATAATAATAATAATAATAATAATAATAATAATAATAATAATAATAATAATAATAATAATAATAATAATAATGTATGTGTTTATATATATATGCATATGTATATAGATAGACAGGAGATAGATATACATACGTGCATATATATATATATATATATATATATATATATATATATATATATATATATATATATATATATATATATAAGCATGTATGTATTATGTATATATGTATATGTACATATATATATATATATATATATATATATATATATATATATATATATATATATATATATATATAAGCATGTATGTATTATGTATATATGTATATGTACATATATATATATATATATATATATATATATATATATATATATATATATATATATATATATATATATATATATATATATATATATATATATATATATATATATATATATATATATATTGTATATATGTATATATATACATATATACAATACACACACAGAGACACACACACATATACCTTCACACTAGCTCGCAACAGAAAGGGCATCCAGTCACGCAAACTGAGTGATTCTAAACTACGTGGGAGGATTGTCCCTGCATGGCGATTACTGATATAAAGAACTAGATTCTGACTATGGTACTTGCAAGTTTGCACGATTTATTTAGGTGGGAATTAGGATTTTATAGATTATTAATTAGCTTTACTGTGATTATTATTATATTCAAATCGTTTTTTTTCTTCATATTCTATGTAGTCTCATACCAAATGTGCGCATTATAATTACATTTGATTTGTTAGTCATAATATTTATTAATAAATATCGATCTACGTTACCTAACTGATTGTGTTGAAATAATGACTGTTGCAAAAGGGTAAACAGATATTTGCTATTATACTGAGAGATTTATGAATGCCATTAATAAATGAACTTTCTGCTTTCACTGTGCATGCGATGTCAGGACACTTGATAAAAGCTTCTTATTTGTATTGCTCACTCTGTTTTAAGTTGTTTAATTTTTTTTATCTATCAATTTGTCTACCTACCTACCTGTAAATCTATTTATCTATCTATCTGCAAATCTATTTATCTATCTATCTGCAAATCTATTTATCTATTTTATATATATTTGTCTATCTATATATCAGTCAGTCAGTCAATTTACTATAAATCAATCAGTCTATCTATCTACCAGTTTATATATCTATCTATCTATCCATATATCAATCCTTGGATGATTAAAACATTACAGTGAGTACGCTAATTCCAAGAAGATCAAAATAAAGAGAAATTCGATAAAGACTAAAAATAAAAGAAAAAAGAAAAGAAACATCGTTCTTTTATTCGTCATGCACGCTCCCTCATATCAGCACAAACACTCCCGGGTGTCATGCACTGCAT